GGGCGCCCTCCGTTTGCGAGGTGCGCCTGCTGCTTGCGGCGCAGGGAGGAGAGGGCGGGGCGGCGGGGGAGTCTCTGGCTGGCTGGAGCAGCATCTAATAACTCGCAAAATAAAACAAAATAAAAACAAAACAACAAACACCAGACATTATGATACAGACTTATAATTTGCACCGATGTTTTTTCGAAATTCTATACATGAAAAGTGAGCGCGAGAGCCTTCGGTGCGCCTGCTCGCTGCTGAAGTCAAAGTAAACTTTATTGTCATCTCCGCTACATACAGTCAAGTATATAGAGAGACGACGAGGCTCCAGTTACAGCAGTGCAAGAAAACAAACAATAAATATAAGAAGAGTAAGAAAATAAATATACACTTAAAGACTCGGGGTAATGGGATCAATAACAATTTAAAATTTATTATATTTTATATTTTGAATATTTAATGTCTCACACACAACCCGTGGAAACGGGTTCATAATGATGTAAATCCAATCCCATTATGTATTCATGATTTGAATCCTGGGTTGTGTGAAATCCCAGAAATACACCTTAGACAAAGTGAATCTGTGAACTAAGGTGTAGGTCTATTAGGTTATGTTGTGGTGATCCTCGAGTTGGGGGATTTGTGCTCATACTGGAGTGCAAAATTAAAACCAATGGAAGATGGACAAGAAAAGTTCAAAGCCATCAGGTGCTCAGTTTAGAAAAAATAGAAAAGAAGAGAAGGAGGAACGAGCAAAAGATATGGCGGGTCATCTTAAAACAATCAGGATCAGAATACTTTATTAATCCCTAAGAAAATTATGTGGGTTACAGTTGCTCCAAGAAGAAATTGTAAAAATAGTAACAGTAACAGACTAAACTCCAAACAATATATCCAATAATATAATATTAATTAGTCATTGTGAATTGTTGATTTGTCCTGTTCTCATTATATGACGAATTATGATGGCTGTTTGGTAGCCGTTTGCATACAATGCATACTCTCCCTCTCTTCATGTGTGTGTGTGTGTGTGTTTCTCTGGTGAATTTCGACAACAGTTTTATGTTAATGTACAATCCTTAATATGTTTTATGTGTGTGTGTGTGTGTGTGGGGGGGGGGGGGGGGGGGGGGGGGGGGCGGGGGGCGGCAGAGGGAGTGCTCGCCCGAGGCGCCAAACAGGCTAGGACCGCCACTGCCCACAGGGACGTGATCGCGCTGAGCTCAGCGCCTGTCCACTCGACCATATTGATAGATAAGATTTTCTCAAGCTTCGCTGAAATTAGTCTTCGTTCACAAAACTTAAACACAAAGAAACGTAAATAATGAATGAGTCGGGGCATATTTCTTAATTAAGAAAGTCATTAATGTTGTTTTTGAAGACAGTCTAAATTAAAATGACACTAAACGGTTCATAGTGTTGTATTGTCGGGTATAAGAACACCTGAAATGATCGCACAGAGAATGAGTTTGAGTTTGTTATAATTCAATTTATTTTTTTTATTAGTGCATATGACAACAGAGTTAAAGAGATATGATTTTAAAATCACTTTTATGACTGTTGCACATCTTTGATGAACTGGCACTCCAGAGATTTAGTGGTACTGTCTACCCAGGGCAGAAACGACCACGGACAAAAACTTCTGCCAGGCTTCCTGGACCTCAGCGGTGAAGACGCTGGGACCAAACTTAGCGGCCACACACAGGCTGATGCATTCAGCGAGCACCTAAAGTGAGAGAGTTGGACAAAATAATTAAAGAATTACTCCTGATCTAATAGTGATAAATGTTTCTTGGTACTGGTGGGGGCATACCCTGAAGTTATCGGGATCCACGTGGAGCTTCTCAGAGTGCATAGTGCTCAGTTTGGCGTAGGTCTTAGTGATGTTGTCCAAGTTCTTCACAGCATTTTCCAGACCACCCATCACGGTCTTCCCGTGCTGTGCCACTTTGGGGTTTCCCATAATGGCAGCGTTGGTGGACAGGTCTCCAAATTCTTTGAAGTATCTCTTACCCCAGGGGCACACAATCAGAAGCCTGGAATAAGACAAGAGACAGAAAAAATGACAATTTTAATGCATATAATTAAAAAAAAAAAAAAAGCATTTTAATCTAAAAAGACAAACATACGTGTAGATGCATTGGTTTCAGTTCGGTTTTAAGATTATAGGAAGAGAAAGTCACTCAATACATAAATGTGTTTCTAAATTGCAATGAGCTGCAGGTTACCTGCTGAGGGCCTGGGGACCGATTTCCCCCACATCGATTTTTCCCCACAGGCCTATGATGGCCTTGCGCTCAGCATCTGTCCACTCGACCATTTTGACAGCGTAAAGGTTTTCACGTAGCTTGTGATCAGAAACCTTTTCGCAAACGCCGATCTTCGGGAGCTTTTTATTAATTACATAGTGCCACACCTCTTCGTCCTGGAAGCATCTGATTGGACTATAGCCGTCAGGCTTTTGGGTTGTTGCCCATGAGTAAGATAATCTTTACCAGATTATAAGGAAAAAACGCAAACACATATTTTTATGTAACAAATGTAGAAATAAGTATAAGAATTATAGACTACAGGTCTTTATAGACTGTTTTTAACCTATACGTACAGTAAAAAACATTTAAACCTCGAAAGTGATTTCTGATCTTTCGTAAGTGATCAGATCCCAACAAGCTGGCCTGAAAGTAGGGTAAATACCCGTTTCTGATGTATATATATATATATATATGTATATATATATATATATATATATATATATATATATATATATATATATATATATATATATACAACACACATCTCTAGTAAAGAAATGTAGCCTATTTTATTTGAGAACAATTCTCCAACCTCTAATAAATAGGATACAAAGGATAAAGGTGCTGTGCAGTCCCACATGAAGCGCAACAACCAGTCATCCTTTTATATCTCACATCATGCCTCGGATATGATTACTTACCAAGATTTTGGTAAAAAATATCTTAATTTTTGATTATGTGGTGTCATTCTGTGAGTGCTTATGTTGTCATCTAATTCTCTAATTCTCTCTTGAGACCAAACGAGCGTTTGGCAGCGAGAGATTATTTGCCACTTGTTTCATATTTTACACTTCGGACATTATTTTATAAAATATCACATTGCTTTTTCAACAACCTCTTGCTATTTAATAATTTCTTTAAGGGATAAATATATTAGTTTCTTCCCCAACAAAATAAGTCATATCTTAAAAACAAGGAGGGGCGTTAACTTTTATCTCAAGAAATACCTCGGAAAGTGCTGGATTTTTTTCTTTATCGCAGAGGTGTGGTTTAAATGTGATACTGGGTGTGGTCCATTTTGGTGTTATATAAAAATGATAGTGACAAATAGTCAACACTTTCAGTTCAGAAGACAACTGAAGAAAACGCAGACATGAGTCTCTCTGCAAAGGACAAGGCCGTGGTGAAGAACTTCTGGGCCAAAGTGTCCCCGAAGTCAGCTGAGATTGGAGGAGAGGCACTGGGGAGGTTGTATTGAGCCCTTTTCTTTTCATTCTTTATTCATTCATAGTTTTAATTAATTAGTAAGTACTTATTCATATTTCCATCATTTGAATTTATGTTTTACAGGATGCTGACTGCTTATCCCCAGACCAAGATCTACTTTTCTCACTGGTCCGATCTGAGTCCAAGCTCTGCGCAGGTGAAAAAGCATGGTGCCACCATCATGGCGGCCATTGAAGACGCTGTGTCAAAGATTGACGACCTTACTGGAGGTCTGTCTGCCCTCAGCGAGCTCCACGCTTTCAAGCTCAGAGTGGACCCTGCCAACTTCAGGGTGAGCTCACCCAGTAACATCCACGCAACAATGATCACGTTGTAGACAGAGATTACCATTAGTCAAGAGGCAATATAGACTTTTCGACCTAACATATGCATGTGTTTTTTGCCTCACAGATCCTTTCTCACAACATCATCTTGTGCATGGGCATGTTCTTCCCCGCAGACTTCACTCCCGAAGTCCACGTCTCCGTTGACAAGTTCCTCCAGAACTTGGCTCTCGCTCTGTCCGAGAAATATCGCTAAAACCCGGCAACTCCGGAGCCACTGAAGCCTGTCATCTACAGTAATGTCAATAAAACTTCTTAAAATGGCAGGGCTCCGTTAATAAATATAATAAACTCTGGAAGCTGGTCCTTTCTTCTTTGTCTGCATCCCTACACTATTCACTTTTGATATAATTGCAGGGGTGTGTTAAGAAATTAAATTAATAATATTGTAGTGACAGAAGGGGGTGTGGGAGCATAGGAAAAGAGAAAATTCAATCAGAAATGAACATACAGTTGTGTTAAATGCAAATTTAACCTTCTAACATTTTGCACTGAATATTCGTTTTACTTTATAGTGGAGGAATTACCCCAAAGCTTTGCTTAAATGGGTAGTAAATAGTAATGTGTATACAAGGATTTCATTCATTAAGCATGGCGTGATATTAAACACGTGGAAGAAACCCTTTTTGGATTCTTGGATTAAAAGAATTTAATAGGATAAGATAACCTTTATTAGCCCCACACGAGGGAAATTTGTTATGTTGAAGCAGAAAGTGGACAGTGCAACGTAATGTAATGTACACAATATTTCAAATCCTTTATCATGGTCCACAACTATAACCAACAGTATTTTTGATGCACTGTTATCAATAATGTCACGCGACCTCACCCATTTATATCAAAGTGCACATTTTGAAACGGACAAAATAGAAACCGGCAGCGTCACCCTTTGCAAAGATAAGAAGTAAAATATAGACGCTTTTATAAGAATGAGCTTAGGAGGTTTTAATTTCAGATAATACAACATGGATAATTCTAACTACAACTTACTGGCTGAGTTAAAAAGAAATGACACCACCCTTATTAATATTTCTATTATTATTATTACTATTATTATTATTACTATCATGAACATTTTCAGTATAAGTTCACAATCCCTTGTAAAAATCTGCTCTTGGAAGGCTTGAGTAGAAAAACAAAATGCAATTGAAAATGATCACACAAAGAGAATTTTATTTAACTGGAAATTTATTTGTCACATGCATCAGCTTCGAAGCGCTAAACGGAAACACTGCTGTAAATTATTTGGTTATGAATATGAACTATAATTCCACAAGTTCAGTGGTACTGTTTGCCCAGGGCAGAGACGACCACAGCGAGGAATGTCTGCCAGGTCATCTGGACATCAGGGGCGAAGACTTGAGGTCCAAACTTGGAGGCTACACAAAAAGCACCTAAAATGAAAGGGAAACAATAATAATGGCATGCTTCATCATTATCACTGGTGGAAAAAGTCTCAGATCACATACCCTGAAGTTGTCAGGATCAACACGGAGCTACTCAGAGTGCATAACGCTCAGTTTTGGCGTAGGTCTGCTTAATGTTGTTCTTCACAGCATTTTCCAGACCAACCATCACAGTGCCAGTTTGTGGTTTCACATAATGGCAGCATTGGTGGACAAGTTGCCAAAGACTTGGAAGTATCTCTGAGTCCAAGGTTACACAATCAGAAGCCTGAAATAAAGAGTTTTACTTTTTCTTTTATTTCGGTTGAATTAAGTTGTTTTCTGTGGCAGATTAATAAAAACAAAACGAAAACAAACCAAAAACAAATTCTGTTATCATGCGGTAAATAACAAGGCGTGTAAAAACAAGAATAATTAATTTGGAGATACCAATAGGCGTCGTTAAATTATCATCTAACGTAACTCACCTGCTCAGGGCCTGGGTGCCAATTTCAGCCACATAAATCTTTCCCCACAGGTATGTGATCGCGCTGAGCTCAGCACCTGTCCACTCGACCATATTGTTAGAAATAAGATTTTCTCCAGCTTCGCTGAAATTAGTCTTCGTTCACAAAACATAGGTCCCTTTTGGAGGACTTTATTAATTGGCCGCTACCACCCCTCTTAGTCCGGAAGCATCTGATTGGATCAGAACCAAGGACAAAGGCTGTTAATAAGTCAGATATAATTTTTGCCAGAAGACTGGGAAAAGAACAGAAAAAAGACAAGAACATGAAACATTAAAAACACCATCAACTCGACATCAATTGTTCGACGCCATTCAGTGTCGAATATTCATTTACCAATAAACCTAATTGTAAATGAATATGATAAAATGTAAGGCAGAATTTAACTGATTTTGAAGGTGTGATTTTTGCATAAGGAGAAAAGCTCAAAAACCCCAAAACATTTTCTTCATTTGTTATTTTTCTCTCAGCACCTGCACATATGAGCATCTAATATGTTGAAGTGTGTTTTTAACTCTAACTTTTTAATTTATATAGATTTTTTCCCCCGTTCATTAGCAATTTTGCCACTATTCCTTTAGACTGCATGCCCCTGTTAGGTTAAGGCTGTGTGCAGGCAGGAATAGGACCCAAGGTGCAGACTCCAGAGACAGACGTGAACTCAAAAAAGGCTTTAATTTAATACTCAAAATATAACATAACTGAAAAAACTCAAAACAAACTTAAACTAGAGAAATGACAGAACACACAGCTAGGAAACCGGTAGCTCGCGACACAGACACTAAGAAACACAGGGCTTAAATACACAGAGGGAGCAATCAGGAAATGAGTAACAGAAGGGAAACACAGCTGGGGCAAATCAGAACTGACGAGACCAAAGAAGCGTAAACTGAACACACTGAGAAAAGACGGAGACCTTCAAAGTAAAACAGGAAACACATAACACAGACTGAACAAAGACACAGACTCACATGCAGGCACTACAAAGGGAACAGAGACGTGGGAACAGGGCAGACACAAACACTGACTGAACAAGGGGATATAGGAACTTAAGATACACATAGACGCGAACTAGACAAGGGGATGCAGGTGATAGGGGAGACAGAGCAACTAAAGAAGACAGAGACCTAAGCCATAAGACAGAACTCAAAGAAACCAAAAACTAGACAGTATAAATAATATCATAAACTCAAAAACCCTGGGTCGACGACCCAGGCATCCTAACAGCCCCTTCATACTGACATCAGTTCTTTAATGCATTCGTCGCTATTTTACTAACTAATTTGACGTTAGGTGTTATTTTGTACTTATCTTACCTTATAAATACAGACTTATAAGGTAAGATAACACGGCGACTAAAAATACTTGAGAACAGGGTGTGGTTACTTTTATCTCTAGAAATGGCTTGTTAAACTCGAACAGGAAGGTGTGGATTAGATTTGATACTGGGTGTGGTGCAATTTAGTTCCATATAAAGAAAGATAGTAACAAACAACTTTCAGAATTTAGTTAACTTTTCTTTCTGCTGCGTAAACCTTTAAAGGCAGACACGAGTCTCTGGAAAGGACAAAACCGTGGTCCTTCTGGGATAAAGCGACTCCGAAAGCCCCTGAGATTGGAGCAGAGGCTCTGGGCCGGTTGGTTTTCATTATTTTCTGTTTTGACGATGTGCACACATCATGCACCACATTCTAACTTCGCTCTATCATAACTTATCACGTTTACGTTTTATAGGATGCTCACTGCATATCCGCAAACCAAGACCTACTGTTCTCACTGGGCCAGATTCTGCACAGGTGAAGATGCACGGCGCCAACATCATGGCGTCGGGAATATTGACGACCTTGTTGGAGATCTGACCAATCTAAGCAAGCTATGCTTTCAAGCTCAGAGTGGACCCTGCCAACTTCACGGTAAGCTTAAGGAGGGAATGATCCATGCATTGCTCATAAGTCCATACAATTTCTCAATGAGCAAAATACTAAAAGTAATATAAAGCTATAGCTTTATATTACTTTTAGTATTTTGCTGTTGACTAGTTGACTAGTTCCCAGAAGAGTTCTGTACATGTTGCACGTTCAGTAAATGAGCAATTCAGTTACTGCTCGACTGAGAAGCCTCCGCCAAATTATTACAATATTCTCCACTGACTGAAGTTCGCCTATGGCAACGCAACGCAGTGGCAAGCACACATTTGCAGCAGCTGTGCATGTGCATACAACTGCATGCAGCAGATTAGATGATCAGAATTCTTGAACCTTACACACAGGCAAGTCCCCTAAAAAGTCAAAACCATAATACTTTCACTGGTATCATACTGACAAATGGCATAGGTTGGAGGAAAATCTGGAAATGGTTGGCAGTGAAAGAGTTAAAATGTAATGCACTATTGCAACCAACCACTGAAAGAGTAAAAATACACAAACAGTATGATGAACCATTCAAATCACATAATACAGTAGCACTACTGCTAATGTGTTAACGGTAGGTATAACTACTACCGCAATTTTAAAAAATACAGTAAGTAAATGTAAATAACCTTAATATACCCATAATGCAAAGCAAATTACAGTAATTAACTGTAGAAATGTTTTCAGGTAAGTTACTGGGCATTTTGTGGTATTTTACTGTGAAAAATACAGCAAAGGTTAACAGTGTATAATGTTGTTGCACAGTACACACTGCAATAGTTACAGCCTTTTGCACACGCTCTACAGTAAAATAACAAATGACAAAGTTTTACAGTTTAGAGTAAAATGTCGATCAGAGCCATTTCTTATATTTTATAAACTGTGTAATATATTGTTTTATTTAATTAGTTCAGTATGTTACTGTTATTGTCTTGGAGCAACTATAACTCACACAATTCCCTTAGGGATTATTAACACTGGCAGTCCCAGGCTTCTACCTTTCTACCTTTAAAACCCACCACCAGCCAAATGGCTGGTAGGCTTTTAGCTAAGCTTTAGCTTCAGGCAAGTGGAAGCTAAATTGGCTAGTCATTCATATGTAAATTGGGTTGTTACCTGGGAATTCTGGAGGGAGGGGAGTGGGGGTGTGTGGATGAGGGGGTGGGGGAGCTGCTAAAAGCGGTGAGCTTCCTTTTGTGTTTCATCTTGATGCATTCTCAATCATCCAGGGAAACAAATCTCCAAAAGTCACCAACTTGGAGTGTTTCAGTTTGCCATCTTAGGGAGAAATCAACACACATGGGTGTATGTCCTTTGTTGCTGAGATTTATTGATAAAAACAGTACAAAAAATCAACCATTTGTACACATTTTTACAAATAATTATAAAAAGTGAGTGAGTACATTTCAACATTTTCAGCAATCACTCACAATCCTGGCACTGCCATGGTATCTGTAGTCTGCATTTACCACATGTGTATCTGTTGCAGTGAACACATCGCACAGTGGCATGATTGTTCTTGCAATTGTGTTTGACCTGACACATGGCTCTTTTTCCAGGGCTCGGTGTGGAGGGTTGTGTCAAAGGCAACTGTTCTTTTCTTGCCTTCTTCGCAGCTACATGAGAGTGAGCTAACTCCCTTGCAAGCTCCACCAGGAAGTCCACCCGTCTTTCCTTCGTCCCGGAGCATGCTTGATACAGCACATGTGCATTCAGTGCTGCCATGTCAATCATGTTATAAAACACGGCAACTGGCCAGCGCCGTGTTCCTCTGCGGACAGTGTACTCCCGAACCATCTGGTCCATCACATCCACGCCACACTTTGTTTTGTTGTAAAGGGTGACAGTGTTTGGCTTCCTTTTGGTAGTGTTATCAGTCTGAACCACGCCGTGCATGCTGCTAAGAATATAGACTGTCTTCTTCCGTTTGGCCGCATACGCCGTCAGCGTGGCAGCAGAGGTTGAAAACACCTAAGAAATAAGATAAATTGTTATTTCCATAGCACTTTTACACACAATGAAACACATAAACATAGAACCAGAAAAGACCTGCAACATACCTGAGTGGTGAATTCATTGCGATCTGTCTGTCTAGTGGATTGAGGAATTTCCCTGCGAATCTTGTTGACTGTGCCGAGGATGGTGGTTTTCCGTCTAAGAAGTTTTTGCGCAAGTGAAAGCGATGTGAAAAAATTGTCCGTGGTAACATTTCTGCCCTTGTCTAGGAATGGTTCCATCAGCCTCATTACTACATTTTCAGAAAGTCTCTCCCCAGTGGGACGACTGGGGTCCTTGCCAAGATATGGCAAGGACTGATAACACTACCAAAAGGAAGCCAAACACTGTCACCCTTTACAACAAAACAAAGTGTGGCGTGGATGTGATGGACCAGATGGTTCGGGAGTACACTGTCCGCAGAGGAACACGGCGCTGGCCAGTTGCCGTGTTTTATAACATGATTGACATGGCAGCACTGAATGCACATGTGCTGTATCAAGCATGCTCCGGGACGAAGGAAAGACGGGTGGACTTCCTGGTGGAGCTTGCAAGGGAGTTAGCTCACTCTCATGTAGCTGCGAAGAAGGCAAGAAAAGAACAGTTGCCTTTGACACAACCCTCCACACCGAGCCCTGGAAAAAGAGCCATGTGTCAGGTCAAACACAATTGCAAGAACAATCATGCCACTGTGCGATGTGTTCACTGCAACAGATACACATGTGGTAAATGCAGACTACAGATACCATGGCAGTGCCAGGATTGTGAGTGATTGCTGAAAATGTTGAAATGTACTCACTCACTTTTTATAATTATTTGTAAAAATGTGTACAAATGGTTGATTTTTTTGTACTGTTTTTATCAATAAATCTCAGCAACAAAGGACATACACCCATGTGTGTTGATTTCTCCCTAAGATGGCAAACTGAAACACTCCAAGTTGGTGACTTTTGGAGATTTGTTTCCCTGGATGATTGAGAATGCATCAAGATGAAACACAAAAGGAAGCTCACCGCTTTTAGCAGCTCCCCCACCCCCTCATCCACACACCCCCACTCCCCTCCCTCCAGAATTCCCAGGTAACAACCCAATTTACATATGAATGACTAGCCAATTTAGCTTCCACTTGCCTGAAGCTAAAGCTTAGCTAAAAGCCTACCAGCCATTTGGCTGCTCTCCGGGTTTTAAAGGTAGAAAAGCCAAATGGCTGGGCTCTGGGCCTTCCTAGTGTTAAAGTATTCTGACTCTGAGTCTGAAATTTTATGTATTTCTCGTTATTTATAAATTAATACGTTTTCTCCATATTTATTTATTTATACAGATTCTTGCTCACAACATCATCTTGTGCATGGCCATGTTCTCCCAGGAAGACTTCACCCCTGAAGTCCACGTCTCATTTGACATGTTTCTACAGAACTTGTCTTTGGCGCTGTCCGACAGATACCGCTAAACTCCAGATTCAGGCGCACCAATCGCTGCATGGAGCGTGTCATCCGCCACACTACCAACATCCATTTTATAATAGAAGAACACAGTTACTATATGAAATTAATACATGTTTACATTTATTTTACTTTAGTCACGGTATATACTTGTATTATTATTATTTTTAATTCTCAATAAAACAAAACTGTTTAACTTGCTCCGACAGCAGACGCCTCGGACACGCCCCTTTACTCTTTAACTTGTGAAGGGTTCCCTGGTGTGTCGTCACTCATCCAACACATTAAATTAGAAATTCTGACTTCCTGTGCGCACGAGTGATTTAGGGATGATTAAAAACAGCAAGTAAAAAACATACTTCTACTTTCATAATAGGCCAAACTAAAGTAATAATTATATACGACATCAGAGTCACACTATCAATGAGGAGCTGTTATCAACGCGGGTAGACCATCTGATTGCTCTAGTTGGCCTTTTTCTTCTTTCGGCTGCCCTCTTTAGATGTCCCATCATGTGCCTTCATCCACGAACCTCCTCTGTGGTCCTCGTCTTTTCCTTCTGAATGGCAGCTTTCCTTAGATAAAGGAGCTGTCATGGCAAGGCAGATACTGCGGTGCACCCTAAAATAATCTCGTCGCCCCTAGTCACTGTCATAGTTTTGCACATGACAATATTGTTATTTAAAAAAAGCTAGCATTAACACTTTGATTCTAGCTACACAGAATTAACACAGAATATGAATTTCAAAAATTGAATATATTTCACAGTGTCACCCCAACCCCTTCTTTGAAAAACGGTTCAGCCCATAGCAGCCCCTCTAAACTGTTTTATTTCTTGTTGTCAGTAGCTGTCGCCTATGATTGGTGCCAGAGCACATCTTGAATGAAGAGGAATTTCAGATTTCAACACAGATAGAAACACAGATGAAAATTCAATTATAACCATAATGAGGATGGCTGAGAGTCAGCATTGTTTCAAATTTTCTGAGGGGAAACAGGTAGAGGTCATAAAATACACATGAGCACTAAAGACTCACTCAACGTTGAAGTGAATATATGTGAACTAGTGTGTATTATAAATTAGTCTGTAGTTCTGTAGCCTTAATTATTTCATCAGTCTGTGTATAGCACACACTTTGATTCCCAAAAATCAAGTAGTCGTGCGAATTCCTGCCCCATCATTGGGATTCGTCTTTGGACAATGCACAGTGCGGGTGGGGTGCTACCAGTGGCGGGTTTTGATATGGGCGACATGGGAGGTTGCCCAGGGCAGCATTGTGGTGGGGGTGGCATCATGGCATCGGTAAAAAAAAGTTGCTTGTACTCACGCTGCCCCGACGTCATGCCAACGCATTTTGGGGATTGCATGGGCACCGAAAATAAACCAACAAACTACGGCTGTCAACGTTAATGCCGTCATCACCATTAACGTGATTAAAATTTCTAACACAATTAATCCATCAGAATGACTCCAAATCCCTGAAATGATACAGACTTATAATTTGTTTTCCAAAATCTATCACACACATATACCCAAAAAGTGAGCGTGAGGTGCGCCTGCTGCTGATGCTGCTGTGCTGAAGTCTCACGGGGAGGGCCGGGCTGCTTCCATAATATTGTCAATCCAAGCCCATTATGTATTAATTTTTATTCCTGGTTTGTGTGAAATCCAAGAAAAAAAACATATACAAGGTGTAGCTCTATTAGTTTATGTTGTGGGGTTGGGTATTTATATTAGAGCGCAAAAATTACTGATGGAAGGTGGAAAAGAAAAGGTCAAAGCCATCAGGTCCTCAGTTTAGAAAAAAAGAGAAAAGGAGACACATCCGGTCAGATGTGTCTTTGGATAATGGCAGGTATTGTGTATCCTGAAACAAGATAACATTCATTAGTGGGGATTGGGAAAACTTGCGAAAACTGTTTACCTTTGTTAGCCACTTGGCTATGATAGTAAACAGTAGACAGACAGTAGACACTGACACTGTGGCAGCCATAGTGACAGATCTGTGTCAGTTTTATTTTTTATTATTTTTATGCATTCATATATTTTTAAAAATAAGTTGAAGCACAAAACGCCAACCGAGTGTAACAGGTGTTTCGCATGAACTCAAAATCTTCAGCAGGGGCGGGGTGAGACGCCAACCGAGGTCACACCCTATGTAAGCTGTCATGGTATTTCTGCGTGGTTAAAATAATTCATTCCCCCCCCCCCCCCCCCCCCATCGAAACTCCATCCATTCATCCACCCAAGATAATAATAATAATAATAATAATAATAATAATAATAATAATAATAATAGGAAGAAGAAAAGGAAAGCAATTCGGAATAATGACGATAAAACAGGAATAGCTGGTTCTGGGGGACTGCCTGGTCATTGTAGTTGCTGCTCGTTTAGGTCAATACTTCACTGCTGAGGTCCGTGCAGCTTCCAGGAGAGTCTTTGTAGCTCAAGCCTCCCTGAGAAGGCAGTACTACTAGCTCCAGAGGACCGTCACATGCTCTATTTTTAAGTTGTGTATATAAGCTTTCAGTAAATCAATCGCTACTCTTCTTTAATTAGCCCATAAAGAGAAAAAAAACCCATTCCTGGTAAAAGCTACAATAATAATCCAACTGTTTAAAAATGATCACCACAAACGACCATGAGAGTTTAATTGCATTGGATCTTTTATTACATGTGAGACTGTCAGTGAGTACTCGAGCACATAATGCAGTTTATCTGTATTTCTCAGACAGGGCGAGAGCAACAGCAGCCAGGAACTTGTCCACAGCCACATGGACCTCAGGGGTGAAGTCCTCGGGGAACATGGTGGACAGGACCACGAGGAGGTTGTGAGACAGAACCTGTGGAAAGATGATGATCACACTGAAATGAATGGACTTTTCATTTATTTATTTGTAACCAGAGAACATCATTTCAGATCAACCAGTAATCTATCTAAGATCAAATGAAAGCTGAGTTAGAGTGAGTTTAATTTGTAGTCCAATCAGTGTTCACAATAGAACAGAAAAATTAATTTGGCAAACGCTGTCATAGTAAATGGACCGATGTATATATATTGCTTTTCTAGTCTACTGGAGCATTCAAAGCACTTCGTACAACTTGCCTAATTGACCCATTCATATAAGTACTTCTTTTTCTATGACTAGGCTTTTTTCTCTCTAACATTCACACAAATTCACACTTCAGTGATTACACTGAACCACAAACTTTTTATTAAGTAGATGACCTCAAATAATGTCACCCCACAAACATGACAGTAATAATGATCAGTACCTTGAAGTTAGCAGGGTCCACTCTCAGAGTGAAGGCATGCAGCTCACTGAGGCTCAGAAGAGCTCCGGTCAGATCGTCAATTTTGCTGACAGCATCAGTAACTGCAGCCATCACGGTTGCTCCGTGCTTCTTCACCGGGGCAGAGCCGGGGCGCAGGTCCTTCCAGTGGGAGAAGTAAGTCTTGGTCTGGGGGTACACTGTCAGCATCCTGGATAAAAATGTAAGAGAACAAGCCAGCGGGTAAGAGACAGAAATGCAGGAGCAGGTTTTTGTAGGCATTGTGGGGCCATATTTACCTGGAGACAGCATCACAGCCGATTTGTTCCTCCTTACCAGCCACTTTAGCCCAGAAGGCTTTGACTGTGTTCTTGTCCTTTGCAGAAAGACTGGTCATCTTGCCTGTTGTTGCTGTTGGAGTTGTGTTCAGCTCAAACTGTGGAGGTCTTATATATGAAACAGGAAATGCACACACCCGACCCACCTCACAGATAAGGTACTGGAATTTAGGCATGTTCAAAATGATATGTAACAGTTCCCGTGAGACAAACACCAAACAAAAGACTCTATAAGGCAAGACAACTTAACAAGATAATCAGAATTCATTTCTTCTTTTTGGCTTCACTTAAGAAACATCTTCATTAAATGAATGTGCATATTTTAAAACTTAAATTTTCAGTGAGAGCCAGTTAAATCAAATCACTAACCTTCCAATTTTTGAATTTATATCAGTCTAATATTACCATTTAATTCACGACAAGTCACCTGTTAGTTTGTATTTCTTTATCTATTTATGTATTTAATAATAATAATTTGAGAAAAAGCAAAATGGGTACACGATTATAACTTTAAAAAGGCTGTTGGCTTCAAATTTGGGTCTGGACAGATAGTTGGATTTATAGCAGGGCTTTATAGATACATTTACTGTACATACACATGCATCTAAATGTTTATGGCTATATTTAGACTAATAAGTCAATGGCTAATTTATGTTTCCAAACAGATAATCAAAAACCAAATCCAAATCCTAATGTGGAAAGCAGCTATCACGGATATAATTGAACACAGAGAGTCCAGGGATGTTCTAATGTGTAGGTTAAAATTTAAATACTGTTGTTTAGGCTATCATTTACCAACACTACAACCAAAATCTATGTCAATGACATTCACTTCAAAAAACCGTGTCAGTTTAAGGCTTATCTAATCTTCAGCAGGTGAATCCTCTCACAGGGCAGTTTAAATTTTTACAGCAGCTGTTTGTTCTCCACAGGAGCTCAAATGTAGCTCAGAGTGGACAGTTGCTACTGATATATTGAGGTAAAGTTAAACATCAGGTGTAGAAATTTGAGGATGAAAAACAGGTTTTAAAATATGGCAGAAATACTGAAAATATTTAAGAGAATGACAGAAAAGGTTTTGTGGATAACCAGAAAAAAACAAAAGCTGAGACAAAGTTATTAAATTTTTTTCTACTTACAGCCAGTCAATAAAGGCCTGTAGGATGTGTGGGTGTACCATTCTTTTCTTGTCATTTTCCTCTTTAAGAAAACTCTTTATCAAGTTTATTTATTAAACGCATGTACAAATGGCAAATGCAGGACCTTAATGCTATGGTTTGGTCATATGTTAAAATTTAAATCTGTGGAATCTGGTCCATTTAAAAAACAAACAAACAAAAAAACATGTATTATTTACAAGCACAAGAAGTTTTTTGTCACTGAAATTTAGAATTCATTATTTTCCAAAGGATATACTCATTGTACTTCATCCAGTTCTTTATTTCTATCCAGGTCTGCAAAATATTTTTGATTATCTTACTTCCAATTTTCTTAACTGTTAGGGGTCACTCAGGGCTGGAGCCTATCCCAAGATAGAAGAATAAGTAGTCTGTAAGATATTCCATAATGAAAGTTTCCAACAGATTTTTGGTTAATTTTGACAGTTAATCAAAGCTGAACTCAGAATCGTTAAACTGACCAGTTTAGCCAACTCCCACTCTCCAACTCCACCCAATTTCATATCTTTGGGTGGAGTGAAAAGAACTCTTTAAAAGGTGACTTTGTGGCTCTGCTGACTAACAGCACAAGAGCAACAATCAACAAAGCAAAATGGTTGTGTGGACAGACTTTGAGCGCACCACAATCCAGGACATCTTCTCCAAGATCAACTATGCAGTCGTTGGGCAAGCAGCTTTTTCCAGGTGAAACATAGTTTTTTTTTTATATTGACGTAAATTTATTTTTAGAAGTTTGGGCTATTCAAGTAGAATCTTTATGTGCAATGAAAAAAGCTGGCATATTTTGTGCATTACACAATGTAGATTTTTCTTTTAAAACTAAGAGCAAATCAATTATTTACACATTCCCTCAGGTGTTTGACTGTCTATCCCTGGACTCAGAGGTATTTTGGTCAATTTGGAAACCTCTACAATGCTGCTGCTATTGCATCAAATCCAAAAGTTGCTGCTCATGGAAAAGTCATCATGGAAGCTCTGGAAAAAGCAGTGAAGGACATGGACAACATCAAGGCCACATATGCAGAGCTGAGCGCGCTGCACTCTGAGAAACTGCAGGTGGACCCTGACAATTTCATGGTAGGCAATGCTGAACTGACGGCACTGATTCCCAGTATTGCATGTTTGTGTGTGTCAATGAAGATTGCTAAAGCATGTTGTGCTGTGTTGCAGCTCCTGGGCGACTGCTTGACCATTGTGGTTGCTTCCCAGTTGGGTAAAAACTTCACTGCTGAGGTTCATGCAGCTTTCCAGAAGTTCCTGGCAGTGGTGGTGTCCTCCCTCAGAAGACAGTACTACTAAAGAGCTGCAGATGCCCGTCACATGCTCTGTTATTAATTGTGCCTCAATACGTTTTTAAAAAAATAAAATATTAAACAACTTCAGAAAGTTCCCAGTGCCTTTCTTTTTTTCACTTGCTTTATTATCTTTAAGTTTTAATACAATGTCCTTTGCAAAAACCTTGTATGGACTGCTTAAGGATTAAAGCCATTTTTAAATGCTTGGATGAAAAGACTCTGCAGCCAATTGCTGCCTGAAATCCAGAACCCATGTAAATCACCAAATGTTGTTTCCTCTATTGAGTTGTTTTGATAGACCTTGACTGTAGCCTCCAGTTGCTGCTTATTTGTGGAAAGGCATGCTCTGTTGGACAGAGATCAGGTGATTGACTTGGAGACTGTGAACATCCAATTTCTTTGTCTTGAGAAACTCTTGGAATATTTTTGTAGTATGTTTTTTTGCACTGCAAAAAACAGTCTGATAATTTTTTACAGCATTTCACAAATTCTGAGCCAAGAGTATGGTCCTGTAAATTTCATAATTCACCCAGATACTCCTATCAGCAATCACATCATCAATAAACACTGACTACCCACTTCCATTGGCAGCCATTCATTCCCATGCCATAACACTGCCTCGCCCGTTCTCCACATGCTTCACATCATGAGCTGCTTCTCTCCTTCTCCCAAATTAATTCCCAAATGTTATATTTTTTCTTACAGATCTGTGCAGGATCTTTCACATGTTTTCTGGCAAAGTCTAGTCTCATCTCCCTGGCTGTCACTGTATTCTGTGGTTTGTTGTAAACTCTATTTCCATTCATGCACACATCTCTTAATTGAAGACTCTGACAGTGATACACCAGCCTCTTCAAGTAGGTTTTTGGCTTAGTTACATGTCGTGACAATTGGTTTTCATTGAAATAATTCAGTGATTATGCACTTGTCCTTTTTTGTTCTGGTGTTTCTGAGTTGGTCAGTGCATTCATTCTTTAAAAAAAAAAAAAAAAGCTGAGAGAAAGCCTGCACTTTCTTGTTTTCAATCCAGTGTGTTGGTGTACAAAGGCAAAACTGCACATTTTTTAAATTTTTATGTTTGTCCCAACTAATATGGAAGTGACATTACATGCTTGAGTCATTGTATCATGGACCAAGCAGCCAAGAACACATAGGCACAAATGTAATCTTCAAAAAATGGATTTATTGTACCCCCGAAAGGACCAAATGATTACAAAAATTCAAAATGACAAAACAAAACTTTTTTTAAGAACCAGGCGGGCCCGTAAAAGAGGTTAACTTAACAAAATTCACTTCACAAAACATAACTCAACAAACTGACCTGCCCAAATGGGAAACAGCTCTAGTTATATAGCAAATGAATAAACTGTTATATACACCAAAGGTGACTAAACTAAAGAGTTAACAGCTAACCATCATTCAAGAAGAACCCCATCCCCCCTACATGATCACAATAGATGGTCCAGTCCATTTTATTGGCTTCTGCATTGAAACCAGCTCCATCCTCAGCCTCCTCTTCCACCCAAACCAGGACTGGAGCAGAGGCCAGGTAGCTCAAAAAGAACAGAAATATAATTAATATAACACATACTCATATAAAACAACAAACAATGCAAAACAGAGTCTGTGCCACCGTTTGGACTATAGCTTAGTGCTGTCATGCATTACAGGTAAATTCAAAGTATTAAATTGGTTAACTTATGATCACAGAAGCTTTAGAGCACAATGTAAACGTAAGACAAAAAGATCAAATGAATATTACCCAAGTATTTCAATTGTGTGGTTGCATGCAGCCATCACACATTGCTTAAGAAACCCTATCCCCTTAGATACCAAGTCTTAGGACAGAGGACCATTGCTGTTCCTCTCCACTTACTAGAGTTTTTTTTTAAAAATAATTGTTTGTAAAAATTTTTGTTCAACAAATACAATTTTTTTCTGACTTTGGAAATGTGATGATGTATAATTAATAACTAATAATTTCCTACTAATAACTATAGACTAGTCATGTTTAGGAGAAATAGTTCACTGCAGAGTTTGACTGTAAAATAAAATTAAAACAGACAGAAAAAAATTATAAATACTCAACAATTTAAGTGGTTGTTTACATGACCCAAATGAATTCATTCAGGATGACTTGTCTTCACCTGCCATTGACCTAAACTTGTAATGCTTTTAATCTATTGTCTAAACAAAAAAAACATTTACTGGATCACAAAAATAACCACAACAGTTTGATTGGATTTGTTTCCTTTTTTATTCAAATTCAGTTTGACAGTAAGAATTCAATCTCATGCTGCTGTCAGTCATCTGTTCCTGTGTACACTTTAACGATATTTCTCAGACAATGCATGAGCCACAGCAGCCAGGAACTTGTCCATCGCCACGTGGACCTCAGGAGTGAAATCGTTGGGAAACACAGTGGCCAGGACCACGAGGAGGTTGTGAGCAAGAACCTGTGAAAAGATGAAGATCACATTTTTAAAAAAAAACGCCATGCTGTTAGAAAATGCATGCCAGGGTTATTTATTTCTGTTTATTTGAATACTGCGATTCAGTATTCAGTACTGCTACAAGAAGTTAAACATTAAATGTATATTAAGCTTAGAAACAAAGAAACTGCAACTAAACCTTCATTAAAAAAAAACACAACGAAATCAGGACCACTTTCAGAATTTATTGTATGTCAGTACCTTGAAGTTAGCAGGGTCCACTCTCAGAGTGAAGGCGTGCAGCTCACTGAGGCTGAGAAGACCACCGGTGAGATCATCAATTTTGCTGACAGCATCAGTAACTGCAGTCATCACGGTTGCTCCATGCTTCCTCACCGGGGCAGAGCCGGGGCGCAGGTCCTTCCAGTGGGAGAAGTAAGTCTTGGTCTGAGGGTACACTGTCAGCATCCTGGATAAAAATGTAAGGTGAGTTAACAGTACATATATTTTTTTAAAAGGAGCAGGTTAAAGTAGTCAATTTGGGTTCGTAGATTATAAGTCATAATCCATATTTACCTGGAGACAGCATCACAGCCGATTTGTTCCTCCTTTCCAGCCACATTAGCCCAAAAGGCTTTGACTGTGTCCTTGTCCTTAGCAGAAAGACTGGTCATCTTGTCTGTTGGATTTCTGTTTGAAGTTGTCTTGACCAACAGAAACGCTTTAGGCTTTTATATGTAGAACAGTAAACGGACACACCCGGCACACCTCAGAGATAGCAACCTGGACAGGCCCCCAGTGACATGTAACGCCTTTGGTGAGATAAACGGTAAACCAATTGTCATGCTAGCTAAACTACTAAAGAAAAAGAGTAAATCATTAAAGATGTTTGAATGGTGTTCACTTAATTAAAGTGCACACAATGAAAAAATAAATAAATAAATCAAACCAAAGACTTGAAAAGAGAAATGTATTTCTGAAGAATAGAACCACAAAGTAACATACTTTTATAAATACCTCAAATTTCAATATCTGTTAGTCTATAGCCTACATTAACAAATTAAATTGTGTTTTTGATTTCAACTGATTTAATAACTGTTTATCTTGAGAAATGATACATTTTGATAGACAATTCAGTTTTTAAGGTGAGGCATACATTTATTTAATTATTTATTTTTTAACCTATTTCACAAACAGGTTAAAAAATCTAATAAAAAAAACAATCAATTTAATGGAGCGAGAAAATACCTTTTTGGCCAGTATGACTGCTTTTAATTTCACTTTTGTAATGATCTCTTGTTGGATATGATTTACATGTTAGTGCTCACGTCTGAATGCAATATCAGTTGTTTTGGGGTCAAACCGTCTCAAATCAAGGCTTCTGCTCTACAATTTTTCATACATTGAAATCTGCAGCAATGTTTGAACATGAATCTTTCAAAGACTATCAAAGATAGAATCCTGAAATGTTCACTGGTCTTTCTTAAAGTCACAATTAATACAGATCCTGAAATTGAGACAGATACATCACAAAATGTGTGAGCTAGTTCCAAAATGAAAGAAAAACAACAACAACAACAACAACAAAAAACTCCAGTACTCATGCAAGTCCCATATTTGAGCACACATTAATTAAAAACTTCAAAAATTAGGAAAATGCCATTTTCAATATAACTTGTACCACAAGAACAACAATATCAGTAGGTTGTCCTGTCCAAATACAACAAAATATAGATAGATAAATATAATAGAGTTTTCAGATGATACTGTAATTATACCTCAGAAAGTAATTTTGTTACATGTGTGCATATTTTTAGTTTTTAAGACTTGGGTCAGTCCAAACTCAAATCATCACATTTTTATAACATTTTCTGTTCAACCTTCTCCAGTTTGCATTAAAATGTTATAGTTCAGAGTTTGGACATATATTACAATTGCTGTGAAATTTTAGCTTTATATATTAAAAACTTCACCATCTAGTTTCCAGTTCCGCTTTCCCCTGTTTATATAAAAACCTTTTGGTCCAAAGTTTCAATATACAGTATATACTGATTGCTGGTAATTTTAGATTCATATATCAAGTAAGTTTTTATATAGTTTTTTTTTTCCCCAAAGGACACTTTCATGACATTTTTCTTGCTAAAGCCTGTTTTCACTGTCCTTTCTTATCAAAATGAATCAGAATTGATCATTTGGGACAGATATTTGTCAGAGCATTGGCTAATAAAATATGAAAAAAATGTCCTGTAAAGTTCTGTGTTCGAGCACACACTAATAAAAACTAAACAATAACCCTAAAATAAACACAGAATACTTCTTAACACTAGATTCTTATTCACAAAAATGAAGAACATCCCATTTTCATATAACTTTCATGCTGGACTAAATAAATATCACAAGCTCAAAATTCTGGAATTTCCAGATAATGCTCAATTTATAACTGAGAAAACAATTTTGTTAAATATGTGCATGTAATATTTTATATTTTGAAGAAATTTTCTAGTTACATATCATGCTGAAACTTAGTGCCATCAATAATTTGGGTTAAAATATACAAGGAAACAACAAACATATATAACTTAAAGTATTTTATATATAAAGCTAAGATTGTACAGCAATCATGATATGTCCAAACCTTGAAGCATATAATATTTTTCTATTC